TGATCAGTGACCTGTAGTGCCACCCAGCAGTGCCACCCACCAGTGCCCAGCAGTGCCACCCACCAGTGCCCATCTGTGCTCAGCAGTGCCACCCATCAGTGCCCAGCAGTGCCCCCATCAGTGCCACCCATCAGTACCGCCCGTCAGTGCCCAGCAGTGCTGCCAGTCAGTGCTGTCAGTCAGTGATGTCAGTCAGCGACACCCGTCAGTATTGGGCCCATCAGTACCCATCAGTGCCACCTATCAGTGTCCATCAGTGCCACCTATCAGTGCAGTATCATCAGTGCCTCCTCATCAATGCCCACCAATGCCGCTTCATAAGTGCCACCACATCAGTGCAGCCTTTCAGTACCCATCAATGCTGCCTATCCTTGCCACCTCATCAGTGCCCATCAGTGCTGCCTATCAGTGCAGCCTCATCAACGCACATCAGTGAAGGAGAAAAATTATCTGTTTGTAAAATTTTATAATAGAATCAAAGAAAAACTTTTTTTTCAAATTCTTTGCTCTTTTTTTGTTTATAGCGCAAAAAAATAAAAAATGAGTGGTGATTAAATACCACCAAAAGAAAGTGTACAGTGTTGCATGACCGCGCAATTGTCATTCAAAGTGCGTCAGCTCATGAAAGCTCAACATTGGTCTGGGCAGGAAGACAGGAAGTGCCCGGTAGGCAAGTTTAATGGACTTTTAGGCTGTAATTATATGAACTTTATATATGCACTAAGTACTTTATAACATATAAGTTGCAGTTGGACTGTAAAGTGAATCTTCGCCTATATTGGCATTGCAAAGTTTTGCTTCTGTATTATCAGACAGGGGTAGGTGTATTATAGAGTCTAGCGGTTCTGAATATAAATTTTATATCTTTTATATTTGCACATCATTTTGACTATATTTGCACATTGATATTTGCACAAATAGTTTATACATTGATTTTGCGCGTTAAGGAGGGAGGTGTATTGTAGCACCACACCTATACAAAAGCATCATGATAAAGTTTGATCATTTGTGCAGTAGGCAAACCTACTGAATTTTCATGGTAAACAGCATGGCTCCAAATGGTCTCCAGGAGGAGATAGAAATTAGCACAGTTCTGTAATTTTTTTCCTTATATCTCTTAAAGGGTTCAGCACAGATTTTAAATTAATATTTACCCCCATATATCTAAAGTGGGTTATAATGAGATTCAGCAATGACTTATCCTTTAATTATTTCCTTGGTCACATCATTATGTTTATTATTACATGTAACCTTGGGATATGTTTACTTAGTAACTACTCCTATTCCAGAGGTCTGGTTTAGATTTAGCCACTTAATCATTTTTATCTTTATTTACTATCATATCCGGTTTATTACTAGGTTTTCAGTATCATACCCGGTTCACCTAATTATTGGAATAATTTTTAACCATTTATTGATATATTTACTATCATAATCATCATTCTTTAGTTCTATTTTTACATTTAGAATTTTTTTTTTATAGAAATACTATTTATAGGCAATCCTTCAGATATCGGTTTTTAGTAGACATTTTGGTAAAAATCAGCTTTACAGTTTTTACCTCAAATGAATTTCTTTATTATTTTTAACCAGTTCCGTGCCAGCCTATAGCAGCAATACTGCTACAGGGTTGCACGAGTGTGAAAAATTGCTTATATATACGTGATTTTGCAGTTCCAGTTAGGAACTGCGTGCCCATTTGCAGCCTCGGCTGTCAATCACCGAGTCGCAGCTGGAAATTACTCGCCGGCACCCAGTGATCGCTGAGTACCGCAATGGGGGAGAGACCAGTTTATAAACAACACAGATCTCTTCTCTGCCAGCTCCTGCACACTGCTTTGTATGGCTCTGCATAGCAGACAGGGGTGTATTTACCACAAGGCAAACAAGGCACTTGCCTATGGTGGCATTTTTCAGGGGGACAGCACATCCTCTCAGAAGAAGGGATGAAAGAAGGGACACACTCGCAATGGGAACCAGTTGGGATCCAAGATAGACTGCATGCTGCTTGATGGTGTATATGGAGCCCAGGGGCAGACTGACCATTTGGAAACTCGGGCACTGCCCGAGGGTCCAGGGTCAGTAGGGGACCCCACAGGGGCGGACTGACAACTCATGGGGCCCCCGGGCAATAGGGGATCATGGGGTCCCTGTGTCCTTGCCCAAACTCAAAAAAGGGGGTAGTGGAAGACTTTCCCAAGTGGGGGGCAGGGGTGTTGTTGGTCAATGTCAGGCTCTCTGGGGGGGGGGGGTTGGTCAGTGTCTGTGGGGGCAGACAATTTTTGTGTTGCCTAGGGCAGCACAAAATCTAAATACACCACTGATAGCAGAGCCATACAAAGCAGCGTGCTTAAAGTGAAGGACACACACAGCCCCCACAGTGAAACAGCATGCAGTCAACCCTTTAATCTCCCCAGCTGTTAACCCCTTCATGCCCAGTGCCATTAGTACAGTGTCAGTGATTATTATTAGCACTGATCACTGTATGGGTGTCACTGGGGATGTCAGTGACACCAAGTCAGTTCCCCCAGTGTCAAAATGCCGCCGCAGTCCTGCAGTCCCACTGTAAGTCGCTAATTGCCGCCATTACTAGTAAAAAATGACAGTATATATGCAGCCATTTGTAAACGCTATAACTTTCACATAAACCAATTAATTTACACGTATTGGGATTTTTTTTAGCAAAGACATGGGACAGAATACATTTTGGCCTAAATGTATGACAAACTTTGATTTTTAAAATTATTTTACTGGAGATGTCTAATAGCAAAAAGTAAAAAAAAATTTTTTTCAAAATTGTCAGTCTTTTTTTTCAGCAAAAGAAAGCTCTATTTGTGGTGAAAAAAAAAGGACATACATTTAATTTGGGTACAGCGTTGCATGACCGAGCAATTGTCAGTTAAAGTTACGCAGTGCCATATCGCCAAAAATGGCCTGTTCAGTAAGGGGGGTAAATCCACTGGAGGACAAGTGGTTAACTAATTATGATTCTCAATGTTCATGATATATACTTTTTTGTGATGTAATCCATTGAGTTATTTTCATTTTTATTCACATCCAAATACATGCATCTGTGCCACAAAACTGGTGCTTAGATACAGGTATGGTGTTTTGCCCTGGTTTCCAGGATCCCAAGAGCTAATATAGAGGGTGAGCATGTAACAATTTGGAATGGCTCTCAGTATGGTCACTTCCATCACGACAAATCACAAAAAAATTTGAAGAATCTGTAAACCCAGCATTTCCTATTCCTAATATGTGCCTGCTGTATCATGTACTTGTATGAAAAGGTATCCTGTTGTCTTTGTATTAAGGAGGAGGACAGCATGCTCAGATTTTTACCTGTGCTGAGAACTCAGCCTGCTGCTGATACAACCCCTCCCCCTCGCACAGCCATTCAGTGGGAAGTTCAGTATGCTGTTATTTCTCCCCTAGCTTTTTAAGAACCGTATGCTGGTGAGATCAGATCATTATGTGATCACTTATATAAAAGCGGGAAATAAGGTGTTTATAATGTTTATTTATATCTATACAAAAATGATTATTATTATTATTACACAGTATTTATATAGCGCCAACAGTTTGCTCAGCGCTGTATATTACAATGGGAGACAATACATGAGACAGTACAGTAACAATACAATAAAATACATGAGGGGTTCGAGGGCCCTGCTCCTTGGAGCTTACAATCTAGGAGGGAGGGGAGAGTGGTACAGGAGGAAATAGCTGTGGGGGATGGAGTGGTGGGGAGAGCGGAGGAGATCAGCAGTTAGGTGAGGGCGGGGTAGGCTTCTCTGAAGAGATCGGTTTTCAGGGTGCACCTAAAGGTGAGGAGGGAAGGTGACAGTCTGATGGATTGGGGTAGTGAGTTCCAGAGGATGGGGGAAGCCCTGGAGAAGTCCTGGAGACAGGCATGGGAGGAGGGAGTCCAGGGAACTGGAGAGTAGGAGGTCTTGTGAGGAGCGGAGAGTACATTTTGGGTGGTAGATGGATATCAGGTCGGTGATGTAGTTTGGGGCAGTGTTATGAACAGCTTTGTACGTCAATGTTAGTATTTTGAATTTTATGCGTTGGGCAATTGGAAGCCAGTGGAGGGATTGGCAGAGGGGGGGTGGTGCAAAATGGATGAGTAAAAATGTTTAGCCCTTCTCTTTTAAACTGAATGGGTTGTTTTACAAAGTGGGGGTTTTTATATACTTTAATTAATTTGTAATATTCAAAGCAAACTCAAAAATTCATCCATGTCTCCATGCTTTATTTTAGTGGGAAATCACTTTGGAAAACACCCCCCCCCCTAGCTTTTCTACCCTTGAGTAAGGACAGATAATTTATTTAGCATTTACGTCTTGAAATCCATTTGCCCTTACCTCAGGCATGCAGATAGGAAGGTGTGCTTAGCTGAGAAAATACCTCCTCCCCTCCTGAGGACTCCTAGGATGTATGACATCATTTGCCCAAACCAGAAACGAGGAAGCAACTGAAGAAATGTTTTTTAAAAAAAGCAACAGTTTAAAACAAGTAAATATAATCTTCTTTCCTATCTACTTACTAATGCTAGCCGCATAAGGATTAATAAGAGTGAAAGTTATTTGAAAGCGTTTAGTTCCACTATAAACTTACCGCATTCTAATGTATATGTGAAAAAATGTAAAAATATTGTACACACAGATATGTTACTTGATTGCTTGCGTCTAAGGATAGCCTGCTCCAATGGAAATGCAAAACATGGCGGCACCTAATGAAAAATGAATCCATCAACACTCAGAGAATACACCTGGTCATACTTCGTACCTTCATTAATTCATTTCCATGTTCAGTGATGACTTGCAGAGTTGTTTTTGAATACCAATTCATGCAGTCATAGGTCCACTGGGGTTTGCAAAATTTTACTAAATTTATTTGGCAGGTGTGTCTGCTAATTCCTACAGTGAACCGCTATAAAACTGTACAACTTTATAAAATGGGGAATCGTGGCTTGGATATTTAGGCTTGGTTCACATCAGGGGCGGACTGACCATTTGGAAACTCGGGCATTGCCCGAGGGCCCGCGGTCAGTAGGGGGCCCCATGAGATACCCCTGGTACCTTTTTCATAGGCTTTTTTGAGTTTGGGCAAGGACACAGGGGCCCCATGATCCCCTATTGCCCGGGGGCCCCATGAGTTGTCAGTCAGCCCCTGGTTCACATATATGCATTTTGCGTTTGATGCTCTTTCCAGTGCTTTTTGCAGTTTGTTTTGCATTTTTCTAAATGTGTTTTTGATGTGTGTTTACTGCATTTTGCATTTTGTACAGCTGTTTTTTTTTTTGTTAAAGTGGAATTTTTTTTCTTTGCTGGGCAGAATAAAAATGCAAAACGCAGCAAAAAACTCACTGCCATGCATTGCTTCTCCATTGAACTCTGTGGTAGCAAAAACACTACTTTTTGCTTTTAAAAAAGTCCCTGACCCTTTCCAAAAATGCAGCAGCTCAAAAATGCATAGATGAGAACGTGTTCCATAGGAATGATGATAGAATTCCTCCTGCGTTGTAATGGACCCCAAACCCTACCTATCAGCTGCTTACACTCAAACTGATACCCAAACAGTGCAGAAACTAGTATTATTATTATTATACAGTATTTATAAAGCGCCAATGGTTCGCTCAGCGCTGTACATTACAAATGGGGACAGAACATGTGACAGAACAATACCAATACAATGCAAAACATGAGGGGATTGAGGGCCCTGCTCTTTGGAGCTTACAATCTAGGAGGTAGGGGATGGTGGCACAGGAGGAGATAGCTGTGGGGGATGGAGTGGTAGGAAGAGTGGAGGAGGTCGGCAGGTTAGCAGGGGGTGGGGTAGGCTTCCCTGAAGAGATGGGTTTTCAGGGTGCGCCTAAAGGAGAGGAGAGTAGGTGATAATCTGATGGGTTGGGGCAGGGAGTTCCAGAGGATGGGTGACACCCTGGAGAAGTCTATATATAAATAATAGTGCAGCGCTAATAAATAAATCACCATAAATTATAATTCATGGGCTAAACAAGCCAAACACACCTACATGTGAATAGTGACTGAAAACATAAAAACTTAAATGTAAAAAATATGACATATCTTAACCACTTCCAGACCGGACACTTTTACCCCCTTCCTGACCAGGGCAATTTTCAGCTTTCAGCGCTATCACACTTTGAATGACAATTGCGCAGTCATGCAACACTGTACCCAAATGAATTTTTTACCATTGTTTTGAGACAGATAAAGCTTTATTTTGGTGGTATTTATTCACCGCTGGGATTTTAATTTTTTTTGCTATGTAAATGAAAAAGTCCAAAAATTTTGAACAAAAGTGTTTTTTTTATAAAATTTTGCAAATAAATAATATTTCATCATAAATCTTTGCCAAATTTATTCCGTTATCTTTTTAGTAAAAAAAAAAAAAAACAAATTAGTTTATAACCAAAAATTATAAATTTTTAAACATTTTTTTTTTTTACATTTTTATTTTATTTTTTTATATTATTGTTTTTTATTTTATTTTATTTTTTTACATACTGTCACCCTAGCAGTACAGTGTCACCATGGTGACACTGTACTACTTGTGCGGGGTGATGAAGATTTTTTTTTTTTTTTTTTTTTACACTGATTGCTTTTACACCCATATAGGATGTAAAAGCAATCATTTCTCTTTCTCTCTCTGTGTGCATTCCTGCACTCATTGAGAAGTACTGAGTGAGCTGTGATTGGTCAAAGCTTGTCACATGGTACAAGGCTGTTGTGAATAGCCTTGTACCATGTGACCTCTGTGATCATTCACAGATTTCACACGTAGTAAGCAATGATGTCACAAGTGACATCTTGCTTACTACTTTGCATGTGATCACTGATTGGCCAATCAGTGATCACATGATCGGGACCTCGTACAGAGGTCCCGTCCAATGATCGGTGTTTCACTGTGTCCCGGGGAGCGCGCACAAGCAGGGTGCGGGGAGGCCGTTTATAAACGGCCACCCGACCCTGCACTGCCACCGTCCGGCCGTTTATATGCAACGGCCGGTCGGGAAGTGGTTAAAGTGACAAATTCATCTTCGTGCCGTACACACGTGCCAGCAAATAACTCAACAATATTAAAATAAAAGACATATATCATGTGATAGTGCCACTTCAAATCTCATAAATGAACACATAAATATATAAGTCCAGTATTTGAACAAGTGATAGGACATGCACATGCAATGTGCAATTAGTGCTCAATCGTGTGAGTGCCAACACACTTTTCCACTCCAGCTGCAGTGCCTTCTTACTTCCTTTCTGCGACCCCTAAGGACCAGAAATCCTTCAGGATCACTCTGGATCCTCAATAATCCTGGCTGGTAAATCTCCTTCCCAGGTAGTTCTCCTATTAAGCCTCCTCCAAACTTTCTCCTCTGTGACCTTTAAGGTCCTCTAAGCAGATTTTCTGTGAAGTCTCACTCACATATTAGTGAGCAAAGAAAGAGATCCTCCATAGGGTAGTAAATCAAGCTTGCAGTTCTTTTATTTATGAAAAGAAGTTACTCACATTACAATACAGCTTCTTCCTCTTCCCTGCATTGGGAGAGGAAGAGTTTACCCATGCAGGGGAGAGGAAGCCATGTTAGATAGACTGTAGCGTGTTTCTGCAAAAAAGCACTAAAGAAGGCACTGGTGCAGGGGCGGACTGACCATTCGAGCACTCGGGCACTGCCCGAGGGCCCAGGGTCAGTAGGGGGCCCCATGAGATGCCCCTGGTACCTTTAATTGGCTTTTTCATAGGCTTTTTTGGGTGTGGGTGAGGACACAGGGGCCCCATGAGCCCCTATTGCCCGGGGGCCCCATGAGTTGTCAGTCCGCCCCTGCACTGGTGTGAACGGAGCCTTAGGCTTGGTTCACACCAATGTGTTTTTTAGTGCTTTCTGCATAAGTGCACTACAGTCCATTTAACGTGGTTTCCTATGGGACACATTCACATCTATGCGTTTTTGATTCAGACGGGGTCTTTTTTCAACTCAAAACGTTGTGTTTTTGGTTCAATACACTTCAATGGAGACACTGCAGAAAACACACGTGTGTTTTTGCCGCATGTTTGATGCGTTTTGCATTTTTAATCTTCCCATCAACAAGTTGGCCCCAAAAAAACCCTTAAAAAACACAGAATGCATAAAAAAAAGCCTAAAAAACGTATGTGCAAAAACACAAAACTCATTGCAAAAAGCACTGCAGAAAAGAACAAAACTCAAACTGCATTGATGTGAACCAGGTCTTAAAGGGTAACTCCACTATTGTGGGAAAAAAAAATATAGCAAATTAAAAGGAAAAAGTCTATAGCAGCGGTCATTAAATGTCAGACCATGGTCCGCGAACGGCCCCAGCAGTTCTGTCGCCCGGACCGCCAGCCTGCAGTGACAGATCCTCCAGTGAGCAGGGTGGTCATCACAGCAACATGACATCACGTGTGTACCCCGCCCCTTGCAGCTCACTGACTCTCCGGCTCCCGCTCCCTGCCTGTACACAAACGTCCAGCAAGGATCCTGCCACAGCTCCTGTCTGCCCTCAAGGTAGGGTGTAGTCTTACAGGGGCACTCTGATGGGCACTTTGAATGTTAAGGGGCACTCTGATGGGTACAATATAGAATGTGCCCATAAGAGTGCCTCTTACTGTAACATAACATGTGCCCATCAGAGTGCCTCCTTAACATAAAATAAGGGGCATGCTGATGGCACATTTTATGTTAAGGGACACTCTGATGGGGCACAACATAGAATGTACCCATCAGAGTGCCCCTTACCAAAAAAGGTATCCATCAGAGTGCCCCTAATATAAATGTGCTCATCAGAGTGCCCCTTATTTTATGTTAAAATGATGATGAGCACATTTATATTAAGGAGCACTCTGATGGATACATTATATGTTAAGGGGCACTCTGATGAGCACATTCTATGTTAAGGGGCACTTTGATGGGCACATTTTATGTTAAGGGGGCACAAATGGGCACATACTGTGGAAAGGGGCACTCTGATGGGCACGTGATGGAAAGGGGCACTCTGATGGGGAATATTATGTAAAGTCTATGGAGCCAAAAATGCACCAAAAGAAGCACCTGCACATGTGTAAATGTGTAGCATAGGTGTGAATGGGCTCAGAAACAATATTGTTACAGGACAATTGAAGCGTGACAAGTCGGAGGGTCCTTCTTTGGGGGCCTATGTTGCTGCCTGGGTGATATGGACACTTCCTATTGGCTTCAACAAAATGGTGACCATCTGCACACAGAAACTGTCCTCTTCACCAGGACTTTAACAGGTGTGCCAACATGTCAAATGGACTCACAGTATGTGAATCTAAATCTGGAAATGATTCTGTGATTATAACTGTGTCAGTCAATAGAAAGTCCAAAACAATGAAAATAGTACGGCTCTAATGCTCCCCAAACCTGTGCCAGTTGGATCAGCATGTCAATAGACTGGTACAAGACAGACAGCATGGGCTTGCCAGCCTTTAGTAGACTTCAACAAAATAGTGGCCGTCTGCACAAAGAAACTGACTCCCTGTTGCAGAAATGTGAATAGAATGAGTAAATGATAGCTTCAGCTCCTGTTCTCCTTTAGTAGAGAACCCTTCAGACGCAATTTCACCATTTGGGGGTCGATTACACCTCTACAATTAACAGCTGATCCTGTCTGTCTTGTACCAGTCTATTCACATGCTGATCCAACTGACACAGGTTTGGGGTGCATTAGAGCCATATTATTTTCATTGTTTGGAATGTCCTATTGGTTGCCTTTGACACAAACCTGATCACTCATGGAATAACTACCTGATTTAGATTCATATTCCAAAGGAGACTTCTGTTCTGTGTCCATTTGACAAATTTACCACACTGTTAAAGTCCTGTTGAAGAGGGATTCTTTGGCCCCTGAAATGCGTTGGATGCTTTATTTCCTTTATGTTGTTTGTGAAATCAATAAAATCCATAGAAAGCATGCAGATGCACAAGTTTCAAACTAGCTCAAAGTGGAACTGAAGTCAGAAATTTCTTAGCAGCAATGGTCCAACACACCAGGTATCTTCTCACCAACTTCTTCTGGGTGTTTAACTTCAGCCATCTTTGGCCATCTTGGGCCATCTCTAGGGGTTTTTTTTAGGGACAGTGTAACTCTCTGCTGCCTGCTTGGAGTTATTAACAAAAAGTTCCGCTTTAGTGCTTCTCCTCCCTCTAAGTTCTCTAGTACAGGGGATTCCAAACCACTTTTAGGAATTTACATTAGATGCATTTAAAAGAATATAAATATATATATATATATATATATATACATATACTGTATATATATATATATATATATGTATACAAACACATGCACACACACAAATACATATATATATATATATTGTTTTTTTTTTGTTTAGTTTTTTCGTGAATGCATGCAGAAATTAATATATGCTTCTCTTGCTTTTTAACTACCTAGAGTTTGGCTTTAATTTCCTGATACTGGGGAAAAAAATAAACATTACTAAAGGATATTGGAAAGTTTGAAGAAATGTACAGTATTTTATTCTTATCAAGGTTATTCTTCATGTTCCTTATGTTAATATGAGCAGTTCTTGACTTTTCCCATTTATTGATAGGTAGGTCTGTGCTTCTTGATATAATGAAATATTGCTATTGTATGAGATGTAGCACTAAATTTCTAATATAATCAATCAAAAGCAAGGCACATGTTCAGGACCAATGTCTTATGCAAAGATTAATTACTATGTTCGAGAAATCACAGGTAAAAATGTGGTACAATGTGACTTGAATGCCACAAAATGCATGTTTTTTATTACTATTTTTATTTAAAGGCAGAGCGTGCATTAGTCATAGGAAATGCTTATTAAATATTATCTTGCTGTAAACACAAACACAATTATTTAACTGGGAATGATCAGATTTTGAAATCTACTGATATTATTTTAATATATTATTTCTCTGGGTTTAGAGATTTTTGCATGGGGCTGAGTCAGCCATAACATTAAAAAGATGCCAGTTTCTAAACTGGGGTTCCACTGGAGATTATAAAGTGATGTAACACCTGGTCTGATTCCCCAGGGTGGAGAGCAGTCATGGCTTCCTTACACCCAGGCACAACATGGAAAAGGGAGAAAGCAACTCAATCTTTCGAAAGTAATAAATACATTAAAGTACAGCTATAAATCTAGGGTTTACGCATTTTGTCATATAGCTTTAGTCATAGCCATGGCTATGACTAAGGCTACTCGCCGAAATGCGTAAACCCTTGTATTAACAGTACTCCGCTTCCAACAATAAATATATTTCTTTCAGAAGAACATGCCAACTTTCTCCCTTTCCCCCCCCCCCAAGATTGCTAGGGGTTCCTTGAGCAATGTACAATGTCTACCACTCAGATAAGTTCTTACTGACACCATTGATCTTTATAGGGCAATTCTTCCTAAGGACCACAAGTGTAAGGAGTAGTGTTGGACTTTATGTTCAAGTCGAACGTAAGTTCGGGTCATACATTGGCTGTTTTTGTGTTCGCTGACAACACAAATGGTAAGGTTATTCACCTGCAGCGCCCCACAATGCACGGCGCCCTAATAGTGCACTATGATTGGCCAAAGGAATGCACCTGACCAAAGGCCAGGTGCAATGCTTTGGCCAGTCACAGTGATTACTTCGCAAGGGGACGTCATCACAGTATTTAAGAACTGTCAGACAGGTCGGCGGTGGTGGAGGGCATCGTGATTGACATCTGATCTACTTTTTTTTATTTTTGCTTTTATTAAAGGACTTGTCAAAGATTGTCTTCTGTCATTTTTACTCTACACTCCTTTTTTTGTGAATGGGTAATACTATGTACCTCATACTCATTCACATGGGGACGGAGTGGAATCTGGGGGCCCCCTTTTTAAAGAGGGCTTCCAGATTCCGATAATTCCCCCCATCTGCAGACACCCCATAACTACCGGCCAGGGTTGTGGGGAAAAGTCCCTTGTCCCCATCAACATCTGGACAAGGTGCTTTGGGGGGAGCCCCCTTGCATCAAAGCACCCCTCCATGTACAGGGCATGTGGCCAGGTATGATTCAGGAGGGGGGGGTGCTCACTGGTCCCCCCCTTCCTCATCTGCTGGGCTGCAGGCTCAGATAAGGGTCTGGTATGGCTTTTGAGGGGAACCCCACACCATTTTTTTTTTGTTTGGCATGGGGTTCCCCTCAAAATCCATACCAGACTTGTAGGGCTTGGTATGGATGGAAGGGAGGACCCCATGCAGTTTGAAAAAAATGTAATTGTGGGGCAATTTGTTTGACATTCAGCTGTCAAGGGGGAACCTTGCTGACAGCTGAAACATGAAAGAATGTTTCACTACTAGAATACAGCATGACTTACCACATACGCAGATGTTGTAAGATACTGCTCAGTAAATTGTCTCTGTTCCAAGTTCACGGTTGAACTTTCGGTAGGTTTGAATGTTCGATTGCGAACCAAACAGGGGGGTGTTTGGTCCATCACTAGTAAGGAGCATTCTTTCTACTCACCATCGGACTAATGTAATATGAGTTGTAGATATAGTAATGTTTAGCAGACGTTTCCTGAGACCAAGATTCCTCTGTGTTGAAAAGATTGAGAAATATTGTGATGGTGTCTTGAGGGGAAAGCTATAAGGAATCTGGAAAATATAATGGCGAGTAGAAATATCATCTTGTCAAAAAAAGTTACTTTTGAATGTGGTGGTAGAAAAATAATAATATATTCTTCAACTACAAAATTCTGGTGTCTGTGCAGTTCTTGGACGTGTTCACAAATATCTGACACAGATCACACCCTGCTTGTAC